AGAGTAGAGAGCCGTTTGCGCGGACGCTCTAGGGTACCTCCCATATGTACAGGTATATTTTTACCTAAAACTTTTATTTGCTTATTTTATTTATTTTTTATTGTGTTTATATATACTTAAGTCATGTGTCGTTTTTAATATATATATATATGTAAACGTATTTCAAGAATGTCGGGGACCAGGACTACGACCCCAAGACTTGGGACATTTCAGGCCAGTTCCTGTTTTTCAGTAGTCTAGAAGACGAGTGCAAGCAACCACTGGAGGATGGACTCCCTGCATCAGAGTACGAGAGGAGGCAAGAGCCCTCATACTCTGGTGTATTGGGTCCTTCTTCTTCTCCTCTCATCGGGCCAACGGAGTCAACCTCTACTGGTTGTCCCTGTTGAATGTCATTGATGCCATTCCGGGGTACAGCTGGGGTGGAGCGCTTCTGGCCGGGGTATATAGAGCGCTCTGCGAAGCTTACGAGAGGGAAGAAAAATATATCAAGAGCTGCGTGCAGTTGATTCAGGTAAATTTATTTACTTGTTAATTGTAAATTAATTTTATTTATTATAAATTACAATAATATGTGCTAAAAAATGTATATGTCCATATGCGCATGTTTGGGCATGGGAACGCATCCCTCGTGTTCACCCAATCATGAGAAATACGCATTTCGGCTCTCAGACTGGTTGTCCCTTGGGTGCAAGGTAATAATACCCTATTTATTTATATTCAACTCTTAAGTTATTTCAATTATCAAATTTTTTAATTACAAATAGTTTTTTTCTGTGATTTTTAAGGTGGGTGGGATCGAGGGACATGAGGCACCTGGAGACGGGCACGGCTACCATCCGAGATCAGCTGAGTGGGCTGAGAGAGACTGATGTAAGTTTCTTAGGTCATAATAATAAATAATTGTTATTTTTTTAATTCTATTTTTTTTATTAAATTCATTAATAATTCTATAAATGTTTTTTTTTTTTTTTACAGTTCGATTGGGTACCCTATCAGACGTACATAGACGAGGGTCGGCTCCCGGACCAGTGTACACGAGACCGACATCTCTGGATATACAAGGGGTGGATCTTCTGCTGGAACATCGCAGAACCCCACCAGCCTGATAGGGTGCTCCGCCAGTTTCGGTGCCACCAGCCCATCCCCCAAACGTCGATCATTACTAGTCTGGCCGACTGGGACACCCGCCACAGAGGCCAGGGCATGACTGAGAAGGCATATACCGATTGGCGGGCCTTCCATGCTGATCTTGGGAGGATCTGGACCGAAGAGAGAGATCAGAACGTCCTCCCAGATGTCCCTGTAGATTCCTTCCTGCAGCCGGCAGAGGGGTACATTGATTGGTATCACAGTAGGACTATGAGACTATTCAATGACCCTAACAACTACGCGGCGATCTCATAGGACGGCGGGTTTCAGCCATATGCCGACCGGGAGAAGTGTCAGGTAAGTGTCTGCTAATTTGTGATTATTATTATTATTATTATTGAAGTTATTATTATTATTATTCTTATTTCTTTTAGTTTTTCATGATAGTTATTTGAATTTTATTTTCAGAATTCGGGTATGGAGGGGGCGTATAACATGCTATCGAACATTGAAGACATTGATACGCTACCTCCCCGAGCGCAGACACAATTCCAGCAAGCCCAGGAACTTCTGTACGCTTCTCTGACTGTTGGGGGCCAGTCGGTCACACAAGGGGCGTCGTCGGAGCAAATTTTATCGCAAGAGGAGTACGCCCCACCCCAGCAGACACAGTCTCAGCGGGCGAGGCATAGACCGACGTCCCACATTGGTGGAGGGAGAAGACGCCGTGACCGCGAACCCGCCGCTGCATTCCCCGGGAATGAAGAAGACGAAGAAGGTGATATTTATTTATTTAACTACAAATATATTTTTTTTTTTTGTTTGTTTTTATTTATCCAGTCGAATTACTGATTTTTTCCAAAAATTAATTAATTAGGTGAAGAAGAAGAACCAGCCACGCCTGGACCGACCGCAGGATCGTCTTCTTCGATACCACGGCCTCGGAGAGGGTCCCGAATACGTAGTCCTAAGCATTCATATACTCCTAGTTAGTTAGTTTGTTTTGTATTCTGTGATTTTGTGGACATTTTCTTTTTTCTTTTATTTTTTGTACTGGATTTTCAGATATTTATTCTTGATGGTTTTGTATACATATTTTGTGGTTCACTTTTTTTTTATCGGTAAGTGTGGTTGACTTTTTTTATATAGTGTTTTGTGTATGTATGTATGAATGGTAGATTTATAATTTGACGAATGAATTGATATTAAAGTGATATTATTTCATGTTCAAAATGTTAAATCAAAATTTATAAAGAACCTTTATATTGAAGGATAACAATAAAAACTATAGCTAAAATAAACGCGATTGCTGGTAAACAAGTTCGTGAGCATCAAAGTGTCGAGCTTAACAAAAAATAAATAAATACAAAAAACACGGATTCCTAAAATCCGTGTTTATAAAAAAAATAAATAAAATATATAAACACGTATTCTCAGAATCCGTGTTATTAATGAACACGGATTATGAGAATACGTGTTACCTAACACGGATTTTCAAAACACGTTTTTAAATAGATTAATTAAGGGTAATCACGTCATTAAGAAAACACGGATTATGAGAATTCGTGTTTTAGTCAAAATTAGTCAAACGCGGATTTTGAAAATCCGTATTTCAGTCGAAATTTATCAAACGCGGATTTTCAGAATCCGCGCATTTTAAATTTGTCCACACCTTTTTTTTTTTTTTTTGCTTTATTTTTTTCCACATAATTTTTGTTTATTTTATTTAAATAAATGGTTCGTTTTGTTCCCCTATTATTGCAATTGGGAATCAAGAAAAGTCATACCAGTGTGCCATCAACCTCTCAAAAAATGTTGTTCCATAAATGTTTGGTTATCTCAAATATTATTTTCTTTACAATATGTAAATCAATTGGTGGAAAAATGTGTTTTGTTGGTTTTTTATAATATTGCAGTTGATTAGTAAACCTGTCAAATCTTATTTTCTTTTTTCTGTTAGAGGTGTAAGACTGACTGATGTACCATGTGCCTCAAACATCTTGCTATCATTTCTAGCATGAGTTATTATTGATTTTACAAATAAAGTTTTCATTGAGAAAGATGACAAAATTCTTGAGGAGAAAAACTTTTTTTTGTTTATAATTTATTTACATAATTTATATTTGTTACATTAATAAATAATATTAACGTACATTAAATATTTTTATTACATAAAATAAAAATAAGAAGAAGGCTACTTCTATAACTTTTATATATAAGAATAACGACATTATATAACATCAAATTTCATAATAAAATAATAACTACATATTATGTGGTGAACAATAATAAGTAAAATTTTTATTTTTTCTTATATCAAGGAGTAAATAAATATACTATAATCAAATTTATATAGTATAAACGTGTTAGCGGGACAATATATTAATTAATTTACAAGCTAGCGCTAACCGACTCAAGTCAACGGTTTTGCTATGAAACCATCGGATGGCTCGGCTTATGGAGCCATCCACATATATTCAATAATGGTGTATTGACATATGTCCTACAATAAATACACATTGGACATGTATCATTATATCAAGTTATGGATGACTACATAAGGGAGCCATCCAAGGGCTCTATGTAATTTCTGGTCAAGCGTTAAGCTATGGCTAAAAAAAAAATTCTGATTAAAAGAGGTGGAGAATAGATGATTCAACTCTTTCTTTTTTTTTATTTATTTATTCAGGGCTAAGAGATATATATGAAAATGATTTATTTAACAGAAAGGTGAGAAATAGATTATCCACTCTACTTTTGTTTTTCAAGCCTAAGATACATACCATAAAGTAATGACATATTTAACATCTTTGTCCTGTGCATCGCACGGGCTACGTGCTAGTCTTTATATAATACAGTCGTTTATTTTTCACAGTTTAAGAACGTGATACCTACTGTGGCAGAGAAGCAATCACTGCTTTGGATTCTTTTTTCAAGAAAAAGAATGAATTTAATCGATACTTAATAATGACTCGAAAGTCATTAATCGTTTGAATTCAATTTCATCTGATCTTGAGAATTTGAAGCAGCTGATTTTTTATTTTTCAAAGTGGGTTATTGCTGAGCTTGAGTTTTCAAGAACACATTCATTGTAAGTATAATA